CAGTATGGACAGGAGGAACACTCACAGCGAAGTTAAACTGTTTTTCACTGTACATATTTGCAAAAGTAGTGCAAAGTATTGTATTATGGTCGGGTTGAAAAAATGTGAACCTAAGCTTTAAACTGGACTTTATTGTCAGATTTCTCATGAAACTGTCGCGCATCGTATCACAAATGAAAGACACAGACTAACACAGCTGCAGTGTATTTAATTTCATAGCTCGATGTTTAGCGTCTGACTTAAACACTGACTCCACTGATCAGAATCTGCGCCGAAATGAAGTGAAACCTGCGTGGAAGTGAAGCTACACATGAGGGGAGTTTACACAATGGGAAATCACCTATCAGATCATTTTAATTTGAAGGATTGTGGAAAGACAAAATCTATAAAATGCATAACAATGGTTCAGTTTGCACCTGCAGTCGGAGCACAGACGACTGTTTGGAGCTCTGTTAGTTGAAAACTCACTCATCAACATGCTGTCTGTTGCACCTCTTTTGCAGCCAACAAATGCTGCTGGCTGGCATTCGACGTATTATGACACCAATTTGTTCCAGGTGTCTCCAAGGTTCAGTTAAACTAAGGTTTTTGTTTGCAGTAAAACTCTAACCTGAATTTGGTTCCTGATGTTTTGCAGTGATGGAATGAAAACCCAAGTGGAAATACAAGAGGGAGGGACATACACTAGTTCAGAAATTTCAGTTTCATTTTGAATGACTGTGTGTATGTCAAACAATGAAAAAGAGTACTGAGTAATAAGCCATGAAAAGGGAATCCTATTTTCTCATATGAAAACACCCCCAGTGCAACATAGTCGTTATATTTTCATAACAGAGTGAGGGAAGCACAGCTTGGCAATCACCTACAGAGAGGAAGAAAAAAATACACATCTAAATGTGAATGTTGGCAGAAACAGTGACTTGATGCTCGCCACTAAAGTCACACTAACTGACTTTTATTCTTTACCATGATGTACTACAATAGCAGTAAAACAGTGGCACTTTATTCCAACACACTGGGTTTGAATAAAACAATGACTGAGCCAAAAGTGGTGACATCGAGTTTTATGGGGTGTTAATGGATGAATAATGTAGGAATCACGGCTCGTATCTGTACGGAGTCCTCTCAGTTTTAGGACAATGACAATGCAGCAGGACAATTATCCTAAACATACACAAAAGGCAAACAAGGAGTTTTTATGGCCAAACATGGGAATGTTATTCACCGGCCAAGTCAGTCATCCCACACTGAAGGCAAAAAGCCCAAAACAAGCAAGACAAGAACATTGTTGTAATATGGTTCTAGAGAGCATCACCAAATGAGAACTGCCTGCTGATATCTGTGGATCACACACTTTAGCCGTACACCAGAAACATCGAAGGGGATCCGTTTAAAAAAATAAAACAAAAATGATTGTAACTTGTCAAATAGGTAGTCCTCTAAAATTGTGGGACTGTATATTAAAAAAACTATTAATATTACAAATTACTGAAGTCAACATTTGAACCTCATAGTCTCCTCATTCTTTTATTGCTAAAGTATGGCGCTAACACACCACAAAATGTGTCGCTGTCTTACTACATATGGACCACACCGTAATTGTAAGGCCCCAGAATTAATTTAGTTCACCAGAGAGCTTAAAGATTTATTTATTTATTTATTTATTTTTTACAAACTGATACAAATTTAAATGTACAGAAAATAAAATGTCAGTAATAACAGCACAATAGGCTTCAAAGGTGCCTTCTTCCAAACTGATTAGCGTTCAGACTAGATCTGGAACTGAATACAGCATGAAGAGACACAAAGCGGTGAGCTGGCCACCCATGGTGAAAAACGTTAAAGCACCTGTGTAGAAAAAGTGTCAGGTACACTTTGCTTTTTACTATATTATACTGGCAGGCGTCAAACTGTGCCGACAACTTGTACAGCAGGAGTATATGTAGGCCCTACTTCAGCAACAGTTAGATCAACAATGTGGAATAATGAACAATGTTTGAGTTGTTATTATTTCGGCATTCCCTATATTCATAGTGCCCAAGTAAAATACAAAATCATGTGTCACTGGTTGGTGACTGTTAGCCTGATATGTTGAGAGACAACACACTTTTAGTTCATCTCAAGATGGACAAAAGCATTGGGACTGAATTATTACCAATGTTTATGTTACTATATTACATGGTTGTATTGTGTAAAGTTGATTTTAAAATACAACTCAGAATACTTAATTCTTCATTTGGTTAATATCAGACAAAGCAGAGAGACACGACAGGGTTTGGTTATATGTTTTAGATGAAACGATGAAGTTATCCAAGAGCCATTTTTGACATGTGACAGAAGGAGCAGTTCAGGTGTAAATAATAAAACCAGTGGCGGTTGAATTCCATGTAGCTGCCTCAGTGTCAGGGTCCTGGGGTTGTGCACGCTGGCCCGCTCTCACACTGTCATGAATTACTGGGAGCCTTGAACGAAACGGAGCCATCATTCATAACGCCTGCGCTATACTTATCATGACAAGTTCAAATGTCTGCTGCGAAAAGACCTTAACTTTGTTCATTCCCACAGGTAAAACTAGTCTGAATGCTCCTGCACATGTTACAGGGTCGACGCGGCTCTGCATTTGTTTTAAAGCTTTGGGTTTTTCTTCATCTTACTGAAGTGGCAGACTGCGTGAAAACACAGTCACGCTTTACCTTAGACTTCTTAAAAACACCTGCATTAAGTTCCTACTGTCTAGAAATCGATGCCTGTGCGTCCTGTTAAATTTTTGAGTTATGTTACATTTATATGCGCTGCAGATAATACACATGTATATATGTTATATATGCACAGTATATTCCACATTTCTTAAGCAACGATGCACATTAAAAGCCATTTGTTCAGTCGACCCACTGCTGATATACTCAACAGATGATAGGCGACCATGAAGTTGTAAACGGTCACTTCTGTCATATTTTAGGTCTCATTCATTTTCACAGACACTATCAGTGTCCCAAAATACACAAACATAACAAGTCATCATCATTGTTCTCTTCAAGGCTGCTTCATAAAGCCACTATGGCAAAATTTTAAAATTCAAATGATAACTCTGTGCGCCTCAGAATAATATTTTTATACAGTAAAATACTATTTGTATAATTTCTCATAAACAACATATCGTAAAATATGATGTGTTATTTCCAAATAGAAAGACTTTGTATGTCAGAAACCATTATTTTCAAGTGCCTCTGAACAAGAGTGAATTATTCTAATTATTCTTTTTTAATTACTGGTCTTTGAAAGCTGCAACAATCATTTGTCATATGAGGCAGTCTGCAGGCCACAAAGCTCTACCCCTTAGCAACAGCTGACATCAACACTTAACAAGAGCAACATAAAGAACATAAACGTTTACGTCCTCCTGGGTTTAATTCTTTTTATATTTCCAGAGATTTGTTTAGTAGGAATTAGTTTGTATGCTACTTCAATAGGTTGGCAGAAACCTATCAATGTCAACGATTGCAAAATCAGCACAAAATTGCTGTCGTTATTGCATAAGTTTTGATCTTTAAACTTTAACAGACAGCGGAGCAGAAAATTCTATTTTAGGCATTTCTGGTTTGATATTTTGAAATCTCTGTTCAGGTTGTCATCAGGAGCAGCACGATCAGTTAAGTCTGAAACAAGTCCCATAGAGGTTCAAATCAAGACCCATACATTTGGTGAATTAGTGATAAAACTAGAACTAGTGATAAAACAATGAAAAAATCATTCAGTATCACTGAATTTGATCCAGTTTGTGTGTAATTTCCAGCTGAATATCAGACTCACACTCAGTAATAACAATGTCAATACTTTGGCTCATCGTTTCTTGTAACTATTTGACATCATTTGTGTTAGTGTTCGTGTTATTTGTAGGAAAAATACAACCAACACAGGCGATATACAATCAAAGTCAAGACGAAATCAATTGGTGTGTGTAACGAGACACAGACTTCTTAAAAATGTGGCCTCGAACGAGACCAGGTTCGAGAGCTACAGCCTTGCCCCTCTCTTTCTGTCTACGAGAATGGATCTCCGGCAGCGTCTCGGAGATGTGTCAGTATTTGTAGCAAACATTTTTGCCCCGGAACACAGACATATTGATATCCTGACTTATGTATCTTCTCTCTGTTAGAGATCCCTTAAATCAGCTTCTACCAAGAAGAATAGTGAGTATAGAGAGTGTGTTTAAGAGTACTCACATGTGATGTGCTCAGTACAGCGATGAGTTCAGCTCTGACATTTGGTAGACTGTATGCACTGCAGGTGTCTCTTTCATACTCACAACCACACACACACATACACACACACACACACACACGCACACACACAGGATGGATTACCATAGAGACCATACAGGAGTTTTGTAGAGCAGGTTTGTTACAAAATATGAGAGTTTATCAACCCAAAATCAACATAAATGTTTTGTTTCTTTTCACTTTAAAATTAACATGAATACGTATGTGTGTTATTGGTGGTCTTGTGTTACTGTGTGAAACAGGTGTTTAGTGTGTATTTCATTATAAGTAGCACAGTGCTGGTATCAACACCTGAATTGTACTGCACCAGTTGTGCGGTATTCAGATCTTTTGAACCAATGCTGGTACGTTTCAAAGCAGATTATGGCACAAAAGAGAAAAGATAATGTTTCATATTATGTTGAAAAAGGCCATAAAAGTTATAATCCTTAAAATTTTTATTATTTTCAATCCCCTTTGATGCTATGCATACTTGGCATTTTTTCTTGAACTAGCCATTCAGTGTACAGTATATACGACTTGTAATTACCTCTCTATATTGTGATTACTATCGGTAATGGTGGAGTTCGCCTTTTCTCCACTGTTCTGAAATAATCTAAACATAGGGGATTGACAGAAAACACTGCATAGTCAGCTTTACTGTGTGTGATTTCATTAGTGATAGAAGCTCCCCTGTTCTACTATACAAGGATAGAAATAAAGTTTGCATTTGGGTCTCATTACAGTTTATTGACTGAAGAGTAGATATTAAATTTCAGTACAGTACCTCAATCTTTCCATTTACAACATACAGAAATAAAGACAAGTCTATATCTATCGAACACACAGAAACACAAGGAAGAAATATATCTAAATCAGTTGAATATTATTTAAGATGCAAAGGGGTAGGGAGTTGACAATGCTGTATGCAGGGATATACGAGGCTTAACATGTTAATATGCTGCATAAATGTAAAAAACAAAAATAATTACAGACTGTTGTCAAATAGGCCTGCAGAGGGACGGCCTATTTGCATTCAGTCCACTGATTATATCTGGTGAAAAAGCTCAAAGTGCCCACATCATTACATTTGATTTTACTTCATTTTCATCAAGAGCATTCAAAAGCCCATTTACATTCATGCCGTATTCACACTGTGGTTCTCTTTCACTTGCTCTCTCTTTTTCCTTATCTCCATCTACTCCTCTTTCCCCCCTCCTTTCATTTTTTTTTCTTTTTCTCTGTCTCTCCTTTCTTCAGTCTGTCTTTCATGTCACTCCTTTAGCAGGGGTTGCAGAGGGAGGGCTGATGGCTTCCCTTTCTGACGCCCTTGCTGTGGTTTTCCTGCAGCTGTTGGTCTGCGATAAAGAGACGAGAGAGGAGAAGTTTTCACACTAATTATGACACAATAATGAAGTGCTCGGTAAAAGGCACAGTATAAATGAAGGTCAAACAGTCATTAATATAAAATGAATAGAGTCTATTAGAAAGCATCTGTAAAGTGAACAGAGATTACTGGGGAAGGGGTAAAGGGATTTTTTTTTTATTAGATAGAAGCAAGTTAAGAACATTTACCGGTTACACTGGCAGAACTGGTTGGGTCTCAGTGACTGTCGGCCATTCTTCATCCTCTGTAATTTTTTCTGTAGTGGAAAAAAATAAATTATAAGATTTTTGTTTGCTATAGAAACCCATGCTCCTTCATCCTCTCGACAAAGCAGCATTTGGAGAGGCCCAAGATGATTTTCTTCACTTACCTTCCTTCTTCTAATCTTCTTGCACAATACAATGACAAACACTACCAGGAGAACCACAACCAGGCAGCCAACTCCAACTGCAACCCACATCCACCAACTGAGCTTACCAAAACCGGACCCAGACTGATGGTTATTACCGCCTGGTTGAGTAAAGAAAACAGATTTGCAGAAAGCAAGGATAATGAGCCAATGACATATCCAGTGAAGAGTCACTTTCAGCAGCCCTGGTCACAGTCAGAAGGTTTACACAAAAAAAAACACAAGTAATACGCACATTTGAGGCAGGGTGACTTAGGGTTGTCCTTTGAGCTTTGGGTCGGGGATGATCTAGGTGCTTCAGTGGCAGGCTCTGAAAGCAAAAACACAGCACATCTTGCTTTTCCCATTGACCACATGGGTAGCTTTTGTAGTGGTAAGAAGAATATACAACTTCTTTGGTTGAAGCTGCAGTGTCATACCTTTAACTTCAACTTCTAGGTTCTCACTGTACAGCTTCCCGCCATGGGAAAACATACACTCCCAGGTCCCATCATCTGAGAGGGCTACATGACTAAGAATAACTTTCGCTTGCTTTAGCACTTTATTTCCACCTGGCCTCTTCCATTCGACTTCAGGGCTTTTCTCCAGACCGTTTACATCACATTGGAGGATAACAGTGCTACCTGCCTGGAAACTGTCAGGGGAGGTGGCCGAAACTGACACAGAAAGAGACAACAGAATTTATTATTTATTTTTTTAATGAATTCTTCAAAAGTTATTTACTAAATTTGCTTGCTATTATTGTTGGTGAAACTGAGCTATGACAGTAAACTTTTTGTTCTGAACCAACATAATCTGAACCATTGCTCATTTTAAGTTTTTCCTCTGTTTTCCAATTCACTTCAAAGACTATTTTCAAATGCTGGTGTATTTTTAATACACATTAATCTAACATTAATCTAATTGGGTGTAAGAATATCCATCTAAAACAATACAATGATTCCCATTAAGTACATAAGTATTTACTGTGCACTTTCCTTTCTCTGATCAACAACTCTAATTGTCTTGATGAGGTAAATCCCACGCAATGCTAAATATTTTTCTTTGCAAATACAGTGTTGTTTGGATCTGATGCTGACCTGAAACCACAAGAAGTGTGTGCTCAACAGATTTCCCGCCTGCCATGCAAGTGAACTTTCCGGCATCTTCTCTCTTCACCCCAGTGATCTCGAGGTCCTTCCCAGACTTCAGCTTTGACCTCAAATTAACGGCAGCTGGACCTAATGCAGAGAATACATGTAGTGTAAACAGCAACAATGGTGATTATAAAAGGATACTTTGCTCTATTATGTGTTTTTATGACTACCTTTGGTATGAAAGCCGGACTTTGAATTAACATAAAAAATCCGATCATTTCCATGCAACCATGACAGGTCTCCCCTTGGGGTGCTGGGTCCACAGTCCAATGTGACACTCTGCCCTGGTCTTGTTTGGATCACTTCACCTGCAGCAGAGAGTGCACTGAGCACTGAAGAGAGAGGATCACATTCATGAAGCACACTTCATTTAGTATCATATATTCACAGGAGGACACCACAAGCTCTGTGTATTAATTAAGTTAAGGACAAACTGATGATTTTGGATTATATTATAATTACTTTGCATTCGAGACTCATATTGTGAATGTCAGGTTTAAGGACAATTTATCAGGTTGAATTCAGGGAATTTGTGGGTATTTGGAACGAGTAAAACAACAATAACAGATATTTTCCCAGGTAGATTAAAAAAAAAAGTCTTGTAAATATAAGAGACGTATTTAGATCTAAGTGACAAGCAAGTCATAAACCCTTTACTGTAAAAGTTATGTAGAGTAATTTTTCAGAAATAAAACTCACCAAACCCCAACCACACAATGATCTTCATTCTGAATGGTGGATCTAAAAATAACAGACACAAATGAACATTTCTATCAAGATTAAATCAGTAAAGAAAAACACAATTTACACGGTAGTTCATGGTGTGAAAGCGTTTCATAGAAATACCACACACGGCTTCTGTTTGAGATGAATACCTCACAAAGAACCATGTGATCATTAACCACCAAGACATCGCGGTACTTCCTTCCTCTTTCTATCTCTTATATAAAAATATATAAAATTTGCTTCATATACTTGAAAATGAAACAAATCACTGGGAAAATTCCAGCATGTGTTTTGTATCTTTTGAGTTTAATTAAAACGATGAACAACTCATGTTAAGATCCTTCGACGTAGACCTGTTGCAAAGGTATGTGATCGTTCATCAGAAGTAAGAAGTTTGCTCCACAGAATCATTGCTTTTTTAAAAGTTATTACCAATAGGGAAACTGAATCAAAGAAATGATCATAAAAATTCTGACAAGCTATTCACCACTCTTTGTCTCTCTCTATATGTCTTCATACATTTCATAATTTTCAGAGGTTTAAGAATTCATTTCAGGAAGGTGAAATATTTATATTTATTTGAACAATTTCTCATTTTCATTTTAAAACCACAAATTATATCTTTCTATTTTAGTCACTTCTGAAAATCACAATAATTATAATCAGGCCAGATAATTTGTCACAGAAATGGAAACAAAATTATTTTTTAAGTCTCTTTTAACATGGTGTAAGTATATTTCACATCACTGACTGAACAATAGATGTAAACTGAAAGCATCTTTAACCCCTACAATCGGATATGCACACTAAAGGTCTAGAGACAGAGTTTATGCAGCATGTCAAGTTGCTGCATCCGTCATTAAGTTAAAGTTGAACTTCAGTACGAACAAAGCAAAAAATAGTTTCAGAATGCTCACAATGAATCCAATAATTTCATTTAACAATATAAAGCTTGATTTCATAATTTAGTTTGAGATCTTACCTGAATTTTGAGGCAGTATAGCGACTTTCGTGCTGTTATTGGAGGCCAAAATGTTTCCTCATCCTCTCTGTGCTTCACTTCATCAAACTCAAGAGAGCAAGGATACAAAACTGTAGAAGGCGGAAGACATCTAAAGAGAAACCTGCTCTTTGGAAAGTTGTAGGCCAATGCAAACCCCAGCTCTGTGGGGTTTGCTCTTTGTGTACACACCTTCTTGCAAACTAGGTCTAGGATTTTGTTTCCGTGTGCAGCTGAGGAAAGCTCTGTACATTGGCTTAAAACTACTTAATTACAAATAACCAAAACTACACAAGCTTGATATGTTAATCTCACCAATATGTAGACTGGTCAACTTTTTAATCATGTCGAAACGAAAAGATGGGGAAAAAAAAGAAAAGAAATGAGAGTGGGCGAGCTGAAGCAGGAAAACCCACACCATAATGCATTTATAAAAAAAAAAACGGCAGAATGACAGAAGGACAATTCTTTATTTGTCACAGCAGAAGTAACAAAGGATTTGTTTGCAAAATAAAAACAGAATAAAACAAAAAATATCACCCAGATATCACCCTCACCAAACTTTTAACAAAAAACAAGTTGATTTGGTGTTTTGACTTTTTTTTATTTCCTTTTTGTGACACACATTTGTACTGTTATTTATCGCTTGACTTATTGACATTTCCTCGTATTGTTGATGTTGAACTGTTTTTTACGTCCTCACTGAAACAGGCAGAGGAGGAGGAGGTGGTGTCTGACTTAGGTGAGGACACCAAGCTGCAGCCACCCAATAGAAGAAGAGGGGGCTAGAAGCAATAATTTGATGGGGAGGGGCAGTGGCTACTGACGGCAGTAGAAATCAATAATCAGGACATGGATTAATGGTGACAGTTAAGCAACCCTTTTAATATGGAGTGAATAGACTTAGTAACCACAGTCCTGGGGCTTGTTTCATGAGGCAGGTTTTCTGAATTATCTGGAAACATTTGCTGAATAAAACCTAGAAAAAGCCTTTTAACCGATCTCAGGTGGTTCTCAGTTTTACTCAGCAAAAATGTCTTGGTAAATTATAGAATCAGTGGAGCAAAAGACACACCCCCACCCCCACCCCAACACCTCATCTGTACACACCTGCACCGATTTATTTCACTGTGTATATATGCAATCTGAGAGACTTATTTACACTTTTGTCAGTTGTGAAGCGTGCCAGGGCATTTGTAAGAGCTTGGTGGGGTGCGACTATGAATGCTGTCGTTGCGTGTTTGTGGTAGCGTCCACATTTCTCTTCCTTCACCCCAAGTGTAAAGCTCCTTTGTCTCATTCAGCCACTCTCCGATAGAAGTAGAGGTATCCCAAGTCTTTGGGAGGTTTCTCTGAAGCACACACCTTCTGATCGTTGAAGATGACCCACCTAAGAAACAGAGAGGATACACTGTTCACAAAGAGTCGTTTGATAACACCTGCTATTACCAAATAACTAACAGCATAACATTAGAGGACATAATGGCACTTTCCTGTGTTCAAAGAAGGATCCACAAGAACAGATGGAAATATGAAATAAATCTTTTTTCGTCTTAAGTGGATATAAACCACTTAAACCTTGGTTTTATGACAGGTTAATACTTTACACTACGTTCACATCAGCAGCTGTGGAAAAGTTTACTGTTCAGACCAGATCTGGAGTATGGTGCCCCCTGCTGAGGCACCATAAAACCAGCTACTCCTTTACAATATAATCAGTATGACTCTTTTAAGAAATTTCCTCTGTCATACTGGATGAATGAACAACTGGTTAGGATATAATATGTGCTTCTGGCCTTTATATACAACATGTTGTGACTTAAAGCTAGAAACCCAAGTGCAGAAAAACACTCACTGCTGATCCTTCTTGATGTGACAGACATAGTGGCCGCACATCGTGCTTGTCCCCATGTGACTGATGAATGCAAACAGCTCGTACTCTGGATAGAGGAGAGAAAACATGAGTTCAAAAATATAATATATAACATATAATATATATTATAAAATATTAAATCAAAAAATGATAAGTAGAAGAACATAAGACTTTAAATAGAAGATGGTAGTGCTGCTGTCCACATTTCATGTTTCTGATCACATCCCTGCTACTAATTTGTGAGGACACAATCTGAGGTAATGATCATTCTGAATGTCTCCTCTCTCTTGGACTCACTGCCTGGTCCGTCTCTGACACGGGGCCCAGGAGGAGGCTCCCGGCCCTCGCTCTCTGCGGCTGAGCGGCCTCCTTCAGACACATCCATGGACTCTAGGTCATCCAGATGGGAGAAGATCCAGTCCACTGCCCGGTCCAGGACATTACTCTGAGAAACAAACACCAGTTAAGAGTAATATCTGCAAATAGAGGTTTTGGTCAAATATAAGCTTTATGAGGAGTTCTGTTTTGATTATTGTTTAAGTATTTTATAAGTGAGAGGGCCAAAGACAGCTGATGCCATTTCTTCAGAGACTGACCGATTGTAGAAACTACAAAATACACTGAATGGATCGTCATAATTTTTGACACAACATTATGTCGTGATTGGGTTGTGATACTTTAATAAAGAATATATATATATATATTCAATATATGAGTTCACTCCTATAAGAAGGCAAATATTTGATAACGTTATAATAGTGACTGTCAGCAACAGTAGTCAACAGGGTAGTTTCTCAATATAAGAAGCGAAGTCAACATGAGACTGATACTGTAGCTAAGAAGGGGACAACAGCACAGAAACAGAAAACTTAGCTTACCTTGATCATCTGGGGTGGAGGTTTGAGGTTCACCCAAACTGGCACCTGAAGCTCTTTCCTCAACTAGTTCTCTTGTGCAAAACAAGTGACACGCCGACAAATACGTGGCAACAATATTTCTAGATGTCGTGACCAAGATCTACAGGTAAAAAACGACATTTGACTAACCTAAATTGAGCTTACGCAAGTATCTGTCACTGCTTTAGTAAAAGCTAAAAGGCCAACAGAAATTTTGAATTGGTCATCGGGTGCTTTCTGACTATTTTGTCCACTACTCTCATTCTTCAGCAGGTTTGTTCTGTCCCACAGTGTAGTCAGTTTTTCTGTTTCAAACTTCTTAAACTAATATCTGTCCATTTTATTTGGATATGTAGGCAAAACCATGGTAGCCAATGTAAATTATTAATCACAACCAAAGAAATCTTGGAGATACACACACTAAAATCTAACTCATATCAGTCGGCTTAGCTGGATGCAAGTTTAAGTGAAATCCTGCTACTAATTTTGTTGAGGTACAAAAACAACCAATGGGTAGTCTCCCTGAGAATGATGAAAACTTGGCTACATTACAGTTTGAATTAAAAGAGGCAGCTGTGCTTGTATTGGCACAGTTATACTTTTAGCTTAGTGGCCTGTGAAATTAGTCAAACCCCCATCTCTAGCTGGAAGGAATTTGATTCTAACCGTGGCTCGAAGTGCTTTGGTTGCTTGGTCTCGGCTGAAGCCCATGGAGACGATGGTTGCCAGGTGTTCCTCAGACAGGCTCTCGGTGGGAGTGGTCACAGAGCTGCAGCCTGGCAACACCAGGGGGGCTGAGAAGTCTGCAGCCAATCAGAAAGAGGAGAATATGAGGACTGAGAAGAGCAGTCAGACAGATGCTGATGATGTTTTCTGGTGAATTCCCACTGCTCTACACACCTGGGTCATCCATATGGCCCATGATCCAATTCATGGCAGCATCGATTCCAGTGTTCCCTGTGTAGTACACCGCTTTCCTGCAGGCCTCCAGTGGGAATCCCATTTCACATAACTGGGACACAGTGGAGTCATCGAGGACGGGAGCTAAGATTGTGTTGAGAGGAAAGAGTTGAATTACTTGGATGTACTTTGTGAAAAATGTATTTTGTATTTTTTTGCTGGTTTTCATTTTTTTGTATAAACTGTTTATTTACAGAAGGAAAAAACATTGCTCTTCTTGTTGTTTTGCTCCCTGTGCATTTCCTTAATATTAACAAAGGTTTAAAAGAAATTAACAAAAGGCAAAATGGCATAAAGAAAATATATAGAAACATCAACTCATATACTACAAAAAAAGAACCCTTAAAATATGGCTTCTATAATTTAAAATGGAACTCAAATCACCTCATATAATGTAAAAGTAAACAAATAATAAGGCAACAGAAGGACTCATGAAAACCGAAAAGGCAGAAAAGAAGAAAAGAAGGAAACAAGGGCCGACAAATAAGAGTGTCACAGAGGAAGAAAAAGTGCAGAAATGACAGACAGACTGACACAGCAGTGGGGAGTAGAGTGAGTCGTCCTCCTCGTTGCCATGGGAACCCAGGATACCTTTAACCTCCACATCTGGGGTCATGAGTGGGGGCGGGGCCACCTCTGGGAGAAGCTCCTCCCCTGGCTGCTGGCCGGTTGCACATAGTGCGCTCAGGTCCAGAGTATCAGGAACGTCGATACTCACATCTGCATGGAATCAAAAATTATACAGCACTCAAAACTACTTTCACCGCAGCTCAAATGTTTGTTTTTTCTGAATTATTATTAGTTTATTGTTGCCAGTGTTCATTATAAATAATATGTAAAACAAGTTCATTGTTATCCTGTATCAGGACATTTCAGGATACACTATTAAACTTAACCCTATTCACACATACAGACCTTAACTGAAGATGTTACAGGATGCTTTTCATTGCAAAGCTGGACCTTAAAAAAAAGATGTTGGCGCCATCTAGCATTGCTCAAAGACAAAAAAGTCACCCAGTGGCACAATGTAGGGAAGTTGACTAAAACTCTATGCAAATGTGTTCTAACAAGCAGAGTCAACAACCTGGAGAACCATTCACAGTTGTTTTGATTTCTCCGGGAAATTAAATCAGAGTTGTTTCTTACTCCACCCAACTATATAAAAGTAAAACAAAAAGGAGGAAAAGCTTATCATCGCCATTAACAGCTTCCCAATTCTCTGCAATTTAACTTTAACGAGCTACTGGGACTTGAATAAGAAAGACTATGTGTGTTAACACATGGCTGAGGAAATCACCTAATTTGTCGTGCACCAGTTTAGTGGAAATAGGAAAAAATTCAATCGGAGCACAGTATGTAAATTTCCATCCCAACACTAAACACAACCACAAGCTCGGGGCTTGTGAG